AACCAAAATCCAAAATTTTTGCACTAAATATTTTTTTTTTTTTAGATGAGCCTCAGTAAGGTTAGATGCTATCTTACATGGATGCAAGCTCAATATTAAATTATGAAAAAATAATTATCAATTATCAATCAGATATCTTTTTTTGTTCATTATTTTGATAATACATTTATTATAATTTCTTGGATATTATTTATCTATAGATTATTCATTATTATATATATCATCTATTTGCTTCAATTTGTTTCATGTAGTTCTGCATGTATCAATAAACATTAAATTATTGACGTCATATATAAAACATTAAGTATTATTATTTACTGAGCATATTTCAATAGTTATACTAAGTTTTATTGATTATTAGGTTATTCTAACCTAAAGCCATATTTGAGTTTAGTATGACAAAATCTAAATATATTTATTACTGTCTATGTGTTAGTATTAGTAACTATGAAGTGCGTAAAACTTCAATGAAATTTAATGTTAATTTAATAAATACCAATAATAATCATGGATTTATTATTCTCTGTTTAATTTATTACACGTAATTTAAATGTATTCACATTTTCTATTACGTAATTTTTTCCAAAATCCTGGGTTTTTTTTTTAGTTCAATTACTATTTTTTATTTAATTTTCTATATGTATAATAAAAAAAAAAACTAATTCGTTTAATTAATTTTCATAGTGTAAACGACTCTCGTGGTTATAGACCTAAGTAAAGAAACTGAATAATATATTTATTTGTGTATTTGACAGACATACAGCAGGTAGTCAGCGACCAGATAAATTCACGGATTCACATGGTTATATAAATTCACGAATTCACGTGATTAAACAAATTCATGAAGTTAGGTGAATATAATATTTACAGATTGGCGAGAGTAAAATTATAAATACTCGCACAATTTTAAGCAGCGAGGCATATAAATTAAATTTTAATTTCACGTGAACACTTGAAATAGGGGGCTCTATTTCAAATTAATAAATCAAAAAAGTATAAAATTGTAATTATTAATTTTTAATAATAAAGGTTATGTTTACTATCATAATAGTTCTATGTTAAAAAGTTTTACAACTTAAGATTAAGTTATGCTGAAAATATGAAAATTACCAATTTATTTATCTAATATCATACTATTAGAGCAGCGGTTCCCAAGCCAAGGGCCGCGGCCCACGAATAGGCCTCATGCAGGGTGGTACTGGGCTGTGAACCATATTATATTAACATTACTTACATATATTTTTAAAGTATTAAAGTGAAGAAGATTCGTTGATTGAACTTTCATGTGATCAGACTCTAAAATCGTAAAATAGTTAAATATTTAGCAAGAATTTCTAGCAATTTCTAAAATTGCACTTAGAATCTTGATGGGCTATATTTCAACAATCTGTGTGTCTGGTCTCTCTGAACGAAAAATCACATTAAATTATTTAATTCTTGAATAATCTGGTTCAATGAATTTTTTTTTTTTTTTTTGATAAACAATTGTTTTTTAATAAACTGTAATAACTGACGTATGTGTATTTTATACATTTATAACTATTGGTGGTCCTCAAAAATGTTCTACGAAATTGGTGGTCTGCACTACTAAAAAGGTTAAGAACCTCTGTATTAGAGGATAGTTTTTTAACTATATTTTATTTATGTTAATAATTAGATTAAATTGTAATGCTGTAAAAAAAAATCGAATACAGTAATAATACAGTACAGTTAACATAGATACAATATTGATTATATTTAATCTATTGAAATATTGTTGAATATACCTAAATCGTGAATTTATATATGAACAATGATTATTATTATATATAAAATGTTTATTAACTTTTGTTAATAAAGTCAAAAGTCTTAAATTAAACTGTATATATTGATAATATTTTAATTTCCCTAAAATATTTATAGTAATTGGATATAAATTTACCATTAAATTTACTACTTATATAGAAGTTTGAAATTATTATAACTTTTATGATCTAGGCTAGTATTTATTAATTTTTATAAAATTTAATAAAATACACTGCCAAAGCATGACAGGAATTTATGAAAATTTAGCTCAAACTCATATCTTCGAAATCCCTAAAAAAAAATATGTATTCAAAATACATATCACGAAATAATTTATACAAAACTAAGTTAAATATATATATAAATGCTCAATACATTAATTCATCAGATTATTTTATATTATTCGATTTTCTATTTATATTGTTGATGTAAACATATTTGATATAAATGTAATATTTTAAAATATAAAATTGTCCTACCCCTATTATTTATTTAGGAGACATCTAAAGTACTGTATATACACCATAGTTTGGTACTTAATATTTGCAAAAAAAAAAATTGATTTCATAGTATTTAAATTTTGTGTTTATGACATATTTAACAGTTTTGTATAAATATTGAAATACAATTTAACTATGTACAACATTTTAAACTAATAAATTATGTGTAATATGTGTAATAAATACAAATTTTCAGTCGGATTATTTAAATCTTATTCTATATATCCAGGATATGAAAATACATTATTTTCTATATAATAATTTGACAAAATATTAATAATTCAAATTAAACTAAACAAAATATTGTTTATTATCGACTAGGTATATTTCACTTTCAAAAAAAAAATGTCTATAAAAGGTTATACTTTGTGTTTTACGAAAGTGAATAATTAAGAGGAAAACATTTTCAAGTGCCACGGCAGCAGTTTTTTAATTGTCTCTTTATTCAAGTTTTTTCTTTAAAGCAATTTTTTTATAAACGGTTGGTCTTTTTTTATTCATTTTTTGTTCTTTTCTTTAACACGCATTGTAATAATATCTTAATACAGATTATATGTATATTTTTTTCATACTTCTCAATAAGCCACCACAATTTCACTACATAAGCACCATGTCCACATTATAGTAATTTTCTGACTAATGAGTTGTATTACTAATTGTTATCTGTATTATCTTTTATAATATTAAGATATACATTGATTTCTAAAATCACCTGTATTTGAATTTATATTAAACTGATTAATTTATTTAATATTTTTTTTATAATAAAGTAGTAATTATGTATATATACGATTATAAGTATTTATACGATGACTATTTGAAAAGTTGAAAAGAATTATTAAAACAGTAGTCGATTAGAACGATAGTTTATAATATTCCCGACAGAGCAACGTGTACTTTATACAGTGCACAGCTGTTGATGTCCCCCACTATTGTATAGCTGCGCTGGAGTCGTCACAGCGACGGTAGAGAACAACTTATCGCATAGGCGTATTCGAAACTCAAGAATGCTTGGGAAAGCTAAGCCCCCTAGAACTGTTGTCCATTAAAATGATGAACGTTTCTTTCATATTAACTTTTAATGTTAGTATTATTTTTATAGCTCACGCGATATTTTAAAAGTTATGAAACACATTATTACTGCAATGACATAAAAGTTAAAATTTAAAAATAAGTGAAAACCTAGATAAATTCTGAATTTAGACTGTTATCGGCCACGTTCATAGCGTGTATCAATAATATTATGTCTTTTGAATTATATAATTGGGTATTTAATACAATAATCCTGTTTGGCAGCAAGTTGCATATTTATTCCATGACATCGTCGACGTTTCAAATGTTCGTGTGGGCCTAAGATATACCATAACCTACTTGGAATCCCATGCAACTATTTTCCACAGCATTGTATAAATATTAAATAAATTGTTGTGAAAACAATTTATTTTTTTTATATAATATTAACGATTATATGCGCTTTTTAAATACACAGAATTCCATTGGTACATATTATTATTTTCTGACCTTTTCTCATAATTAGTCCAAAGAAAAATAATTAAAAATATGATATCGATTATCTTTTAATTTTAAACCGATTATCTTTGTTAATCAATAATTTTTTCGAATTAATATTAAGTAAAAAAAGTATATTTGAAAACAATTTATACCTCTTGTTTTTATTTGCTAATTTTTATCTTTGAAAAATTCATCATATTCTACACAATTTATTTACAGCAAAATTAATACTTATACCATACTTTCCACATTCAACTTAAGGTTGATAACTGTTTAAAAGGGAATTATTTGAGACCATATAAAAATATTTCGTTTTGGACAAATTTCTAACTATTCTATTTCAATATTTACAATTTAATTAGAGGAGTTAAAAACTTAAAAACAAATAAGCTACCCATTTAAGATATGTTCTCGTACTATTCAGATTTCGTGTTACATATATATATATATTCTATGAAATTTTTTGGTCATCAGATAATGATTTATTTTTATTAGAATTACAAATTAAATCATAATCGGTTTATGTATAAATCCACGGTAATTATTACATAGTGTTTGCTAATAAATGAATAATAAAAATGAAATAAACTAATTGGTTTTATAATATTTCATCTTAGAGGACAGACAACTGCATTTTGATCAGTATTTCTGTAGTTTTCATAAATTTTAATTAAAAATACTATTCAAAGAGACAATTCATTTTTGTGTTCAAACGAATTGATTAAATGTAATCGGATGTATTTAACTTATGACCTAATAGAGATATGAATTCAAAATTATATACTCCATAAAACTGTAAGGATTTCTATTAATTTATTATAATTGGTTTTGCAGTACATACGTTTAATATGTATATTATGTTATTCGATTATTTAACATATACACAATAGATGCGATGTTCTACCCATAGTCCAAGGTGCTATCGGTAGAGGATAAACTTTTACAAACATTGTGAACATAGCAGTGTAAAGGAGCACGAAGGAGAGAGTAAAGGAGGGGAAATTATAACGAACTGGCTAGCGAGCAGGGGTGGTGTTGGCAGTGTATAGGGCAGGGCCGCGGTACGTGGTAAAGAGTAATAAATGACGATTGGCGTAGGGGGTGGCCGTGAGGAGACGTATCCGATAGGTGACGCGGAATGGCTGGGTGAACACGATACGGGTAGGTAGATGCATACACATAAGAGAGGCCGTATACGCATACCTTTTGAGACACCGCTGCACTGGATCATTCAGATAGGATTGTCAACTGATTTCAGGTACATAACGTGCCGCGTACGTAGTACACACGGTCCGTACGTGATGCCGTCGCGCTGTCCGATCGCACTCCATTCGCCACAGACGCTGACGTTACGGCCGGTGACGCTGACGCTGGTGCGATTCCGAGTGCTGCTAATGCTGTTGCTGCCCGGCAACCAGCCGAATGGCATCGTCGGCGGTCGCGGCGAGGACCCTGCACCCGGACAACAGAAGAAGACTTTTTTTCCTATCTCGTCCGATGGTTCTTTCTTCTGTTTCGTCCTGTTGCTGATACTGCCCCTACCGGCGACGGTGCCATTCGGCTGGTTCCCGGGGCCCGCAGGGTACGCCGATCTTCGTCTGGTCACGAGCTATCCGCGCATCGCGTTCCGTCCACCACCTGCGCTACGACGACGGTCGACCGCACAAATCACCTGCCGGCCGCATAGTAACGCCGACGACAACGCGGTAAACCGTAGTGCGGTGGGGGGAGGGGGAGAAACCAAACGAGGCGAACGTAATACCTCGACGGTGCGCGACGTGCGCGTACGGCGGTTAACAACAGTACGATATTATGTTATCGTTAAAAATAGCAGCACGGCGACAACGCGCGTGCACGAAAACATCGATTCGTCATGTCGTGTGCGCGCGTATTGCGAACTACAACGGTACACTATTATTGCCCGAATTATGGCAGTACAATATTCTGTTGTGTGTAGTACTATTATCACCGCGGAACATGAATAATTTGCGCGCGCGTGCGCGTGTGTGCGTGCGTGTGTGCGTGCGCTCGCGCGTATAATATATAAAAACTATCGCGCCAAGACGAAAGTAATAATTACAATGATGATAATAATAATAATAATAACAACAAAAATGTATTATTGTTTTAGTGTACGTGCACACGACGACGACGACGACGACGACGGAACGCACAACGGGCAGAGACGACGAGCCTCGCCAACGCGCGCGAGGTAGATCCACCGCACGAACCGAGACACTTAAAAACTGACGACGCGGAGGGCTTACAGGAGTGCGGCACTACTCCAGTTGACCTGACGTCGCGTGCACACGCACACACACGGACGGCGGATTAGCCCGACTAGAGCGACCCTCCCGCACCCTGCGCAATAACGGCAACGCACACGCGCGCGCGACCGTCTCGCGCAAGACACACGCGCACACACGCACGTACACGCATACCAACGCGTTGTTTTACGCGCAAGTACACGCGCGAACGCGCATACGCGCGCGAGCAGTCGGACGAAGCGCACGCGCACTCCCGACACGGTTGTACATGTACATTACGCGCAGACGGTTACGCGCGCGCGTACAAAGAGACTTGTGGAAACCGGGTCATCCGTAATTCACCAATCAGTGCGGCCAAAGCGGCGCGGACCCATTACCGTTCCAAACACCTGTAAACATTTACATTTGTACGGGGCTACGACATTTTATGACCCACAATTATCATTCCGCCGTACCGACTGTAAAACGGTGGTCTTATACAGGTATTATAATAGACGCACACGTGCACGAATTAATGTACGTATACGCGTGCGATTGAACGTGTGCCACCCCGCCTATGCGCGGACCCTGTTCGCCGTTTTATTTCTTTTTCTGTTCGTTTGTTCGCCGTACGCGTAATTCGCTCTGGCGGAAATCGACGCCGTCGCGATGATGATGATGATAATAATAATAATAATAATAATAATAATAATAATAATATGGTTTCGCGCGTACACCGCACGCGCATATTTTAACCACCGCGAACTTTTCCGCGTACAGATATTATTGTATGTGCGGTGCAATACGTGTACTGGTGTAATGATGTACCACCTACGCGCACGTGTGTACGCGTTTCGGGCGCGGGTCGTATATCCTATTCGAAATTGCCGCCACTTTTTCCGAGAAGAGATCGATTTAACCCAGAATTAGGCGTTTTACCGTGTCCACGCGCAGTTCTACGTTCAGCGCGCGTTAAAATAAAATAATCTATTCGATTTGGACACACGTCGTCTGCATCCAGTGGCGTGATAATTTTTCTATACCTTTGACGCCGACCCAAACTGAGATAATTAACCACCACCAGGGCCAGCGTTAGGCGGAGGGGGTTTATAAATATTTAAAGAATCATTGTACCCGCTGAACAAGTATCGTACACCCGATTTGAACATACGTACCTACCTGAATAATTAACGTTCATTATTATAGTTTATGTATGTTCCACGTATATTGTAAATTTAATGTTATGTTTGTGTTATAGATCCACATGAGTCCACCTATCCATCCATTGACAAAAATTGAGAGGCCATGTCAAAACCCCTTTCACCACGTCACTGCCTGCAGTGTTAAACCTATATTGTATTATTTCATATCATTTGGCGACCGTGTTCCGTTTATTATAAATTTATACTTGTAAATATGTGTGTGTGTGTGTATAAATAAAGAACGAATTCTTCATTGGAATAGCATATTTTTTATATTTTTCGATATTTTTATATACATTATTGGCGAATGATTACAAGACTCGTACAAAAACAGATATAGGCCGAGGAGTAGACTGACGTGCACATGTATTTATTTGCATCGTCTTACGTCACGTTTTCACAGTTGCAGACTTTTGTTTTCAACTGTTGTGTTTAGCAATCACACCGATTTACGCGTAGCGGAATCGCGGGAACGCGTTCAATCGCTTCGCTCGAAGACATACAATGTACGCAGAGTACCGCGTACGATTAAAGGAGTTGTTAGCTAGGGTGCTCCGGGAACGGGTGTCGCGGTTTCGAGGCCGCGGCGTACGGACAATGATTGCAACGCTCGCCGCGCACAGAAACGCGAAACAATTTTGTTGAAAACCCGCGATTCCGTGGGCCCCACTACTCGGCGCATGTTCGGTGAGGATTTATTGGAAAAAGTTCGTGGAGCGACGACCAACACGTCGGATTCACGCTATCTGGCAGCGGAATCTGACATCGAGCGGTGGTCGCCGTTAGCAACCGTCAAAAGCTGTAGCCGATCGAACGATTTCCCGGTGCCACGCCCTTGCGCTTTACGCTTTACTCCCTCCGCGCGAGAAACGCGCAGCCGCCTTCTGCCCCCGGACAACCGCAGGTCCGCCGTCCGAGCAGAGAAATGAAGATTATAATAAACCAGGGGGAAAAAAAGATTACTCATTTTACACTTTTTTCCTCCAATATTTTTCCCTGTGCGACTAGTAAAACGTCAACTGTTTTCAAGCGACAGATTTCCACCACTACTACTATTATTATTATTATTATTATTATGCTTATTGAAAGACGTTCATCCGGCAGAGGGAGCTACGGTCGACGATAACTCCGCACACACGTCGACGGAATGCATTTCTCCGAGTCGATCATCACAAACGTTTGTTGTTTATCATCATATACCAGGACTCACGGCCACATTCGTCGGGCCGTTTTCCCGTACCGCGTGCACCCAGCCACCGGTGACTGCTAGAGCGAAGGCAGCAATTGATCGGGCGCAGCCGAGTCGCTGTCACCGCCACCACCGAAGCCGCGGCTCGACAACAATAATTACCGTACGTAAGATACGAGACAATATTGTCCGTATTATTGTTATACGCATATTATATTACGTTAGTCGATTTTATTTCCATTTGGTACCGGTTAATCGATTCACCGTGTCCCGAAAATAGCCGTTCGCTTTACGTGAACGCCATATGGCTGCGAACAGTTGTCATTGTCGTTGTTGTTGTTGTTGTTGTTGTTGTTGTTGTTGTTGTTATCGCAGCGGCTATAGTATTTCATCGCGAGACCGTTTAACTACACCGTACGCTTCACGAACAGACAGTCGATAGTACGTTATTAATGGTATATAAATGCCGCCGCCGGCGACGCCGCTGCGTTCACCACCGCTGTTATCACACAACAAGTGTGCGGCGTTACAACTACCCCCATATATGCTCGTAAACGTCATATTTTCATATTATTCGACCCCATGGATATCCGTACCTATGTTCAACACGGCAGCGATGATAATGTACAGTCGTTTTTCATTTTTATTATTTCGTTCAAACAACCGCTACTATTATTATTCCGTTCGTCCACCGTTCCGTCCCACCGTCGACGAACGCGTTGCACGGCGTTCGACTAGGCAATTCGGCTACACCACTGCATAGGCGGTCGGACGGAAAACTATACAATATTGTTATGTGACTGTGTCAATACAATAACAAACCACAATAGGAGATGGATGAAAAGCATCACATTATATTGCTATATGTAATTGCTTTAGTAATAATAATAATAATAATAATAATAATACGACTGTACCGATATGCCCACTTTCTTCTAACCTGAAGGTACGCTTTCAGTGTTCCCTAAGTCGCATATCGATTTTTATCAGAACGCGCATTATCTCACGATTCCTTATCTTTAACAAAATGTATACGACTGTACTCTGTCCATTCCGCATGTATTCCTACGAATTCAAATAATATTACACAATACTACGGAAGTTAAAATATCGATTTTATGTAATATTTACATTATACATGTCATTGTTGTCACGTTCACTTTTTTTTTTTTATAAAATAAACCCATATCCCGAATACACATTTATAACATAAAACAAATACACTATAACTATCACGTAATTTTTAGTAAGTATTACGCGTGTCATCGTTATCATTTGCAAATATTAATATCAATAAAATTAGAAAGCTACGATATTTTAATAACATGTTTAAAGTACTACTTTTTTCGATAAAAATCGTCATCGAATTCTCTAAATACACTCTCTCTTTCCGACTGATATTACATGACATAAGAGCGTATCAATTCACATATTATAAATAATAACAGGAAAATTTAACTTTGTTATTAATACGTCAAACTTATAAAAATATTATAAGCTATATTTATTACATGTTATAGAAAAACATAAGAAACTACAACAAATACATTTTTGTAAGCGTATTTGATTATTTCAAAAAACTGTAGGACAAAACATAATTGTGAAAATCATTTATTCGTCTATTTTAAAAAGATACAAATATATTGTATACTATTATGCAGCAACATAATTACGATACAAAGTGATATGAGTAATAGATTCTGTAGAGATTTTGGTTTTTCTTGGAAATAAATTTTTAAATTAACATTCGAATAGTTATTTGATGAAAACGGGAGAAATCTTTCCCGTACATCGCATAGTTTGAATAAAATGCACGGAAATAAAAATAATTAACTGTATAATGCTGAATAACTATTTGTACATCCACTCGTAAATAACAAACGTATGTTGTGTGTATGTTGCATGGAAAATATACAGGGCGACGCGTGCAGCATATAACGAACACGGTGGAATTAGATGATAGTCAAGCGATGGCAGACGTGCAGATGGAAATTTACGAGGATATGTTTAAAGAGATTACGAAAAAAATATACGGACAAGATACATCTTCGTCCGAGGACAGGCAGTTCGCGGGTCAGGACGCCTACAAAATGGTCGAGGAGGGCCTAAACATGATCGAAAATGATGACGCGGCTGCAGCGGAGTCTTTTAGCGAACAGTCGCAACCCGAGGACGACCCGTGGGTAACTAGCGACGAGACGATAGCTTGGACCACGTCGAAAATCGGCAGCTATAACGTGGAAAAAAAGCTGTTCAAGTGCCAGGAATGCAATTCGGTGGGCCTACTGTCCAGCGTTGCGGAACACTGGCTGGGTACGCACGCCGATGTTAAAGTGTTCCAGTGCCCGCAGTGTCCGTACGCGAGTGCGTATACAAAGTGCATCCGCTTGCACTTGTCCCGGCATCACAACGTGTTGGCTGACCATGGGCTGGACCAGAAGCCGTGGAAAGAGAGCCCGGTGCTGGACGAGGTCACCGGCTACTTGGGCCGGTTGAAAGCGGCCGCAGACAAGGCTGTAGACAACACAGCGGCTGCGGTCGCCGCGGCCACGGCGGTGGCCATCGCAGCCGAGTCGGAAGACTTTTCCGTTGCCGCGGAGGACGACCTGCAACTGGCCGCGGCCGACACGGAAACGCAGACCGCGCAGAAGCGATTCAACTGCAGCCACTGCCCGTACGCGACGGACAGGCGCGACTTGTACACCAGGCACGAGAACATACACAAAGAGGACAAACCGTTCCAGTGTGACATATGTCAGAAGCAGTTCAACAGGGCGGACCACGTGAAGAAGCACTACACGCGCATGCACCGGGAACACGAGTACTGCCTGAGCAGGGTGAAGCGCGACCCGTTCGGCAAGTCGATCGCGGCCCAACAGCAGCAGCAAAGGGTGACGCTGTACTCCGGCGACCCGCCACCGCTTGAGCCCGAAACGCAGATCATCGTGTCGCAGACGATCGACGCACAAACGCTGCCGTCCACGCCGATTATCACCACTGCTCCGCTCATGTTGGACGACCAACAGCAGCAGCAGCAGCAGCAGCAACAGCAGCAGCAGCAGACGGTCGTCAACATCGCCGTGGTTAATTTCAACGAGCAGACCGGCACTCATACGATTCAAATACCAATACCCGCCAGCCAGATAAAACCGGTAAGCCCAATGGAATACGAACAATGACCGGTTATACCTAACGGTATTCGTAGGTATGGTCCAAATACGATATATATTTCTAGCACGTTGCCCGTCCTTCCCAGTTTCCTCGATCCACCACCATGTTATCACCTTAAAACCACAACTCACGAGGACGATGGTATTCTTCGAATGATCATCCATCATTCTTTCACAAACGTTTATCAATAATCCCTAGTCTGACGGATAGCGCATTTTCTCGTCCAATCGTCTCTGCTCTCAGAGCATCTACCTACGTGTACCTGTTATGTGAATTTCGAATTATTGTACACCACTTCTGTCAGCATTTCAATTATTTTGCACTAAACACCTGAATATCCTAACGTGCTGTGACGCTTGATTTTATTTCACTCGATTATACACCCACCTATTTAGACATAATTTTTCTCCTCCTTTGCCTTTCGCCCAACTATTTAGAGTCGGACATCCTTGACCTAAACCTCCACTTGCCACCAACAGCCCTCATTTTAATACCAATCATATCCAACCATCTCTTTTTTGGGCTTCTTTTTTCCCCTTCAACGTTAATCTTCATTACAACTCTTACTGCATTTATTTCCTCTCGTCTCATCACATTCCAAAACCCTCTCAGAATATTTTCTCTCATATTATCCACTATAGATACTACACCAATACTACCTCTCACGTATATTACGTTTCTTATTCTATCTTTTCTTGTCACTCCACTCTTCCACTGAATTATTCTCATTCCTGCAACATTCATATTCTGTTCTATTATCCTGTCGACCATTCAACACTCTGAACCATATAGCAAAATTGGTCTTACTACACTCCTGTACAATTTAACTTTCACTTTTCTTTTTTTACCTTTCCCATCTATTCGGACATTACTTGGCTTAACTAAAGTGTAAAAATTATAAAACGCAAAACAATGCCTAGATTTTATGCGGCTACGTCGTAAAAACTCATTTATAATAACCCTAATCATGTATTTCTCATGTACATCCATAATACAATAACTTAATCGTAATAGTAACACTAAACGTACACAGCTATACCACGTATTATATATTTATATATATTGCGTGGTCTCAATGAGGCCCAATACTCTTATGGAAAATCAATATATGTACAATTTATACAAAACGTCTGATCTAAATGGCTGTTATACGTAGATTTTTTTAGATATTCTGTGATTGTATATACATTTTAGTGGCACAGGAAACGCACGTCATTCGTTTAATAGTCACGATTTCCACGGTTGCTCATTTTAACATATTATTATAGTCACGCGATTGCAAACAATAATATAATCAAATATTCGTTTGGCGAGACTATAAACATTTTCATTATCATTGGTATTGATTATATTATATAAGCTATGCAACATTTTTTCAGAGACAACATAAAATTATAAAAAAGCAACTTCCAAAAAACCCTACACAGAAATTACTTACCCGGACTTGCGTATGATGTGAGTGCGTGGTGATTATCCGTTTATCTATCAATCTTCAGTAGAGGCCGGTCTAGAGTGTAATTCCGGAAGCGGAACTATCTTTAGAATAATTCCTACGAAACAAAAATAACCTATTCATAACAAGTATGCAAAATTTAATACCTTATGCAAAATTAAAGTTTGAACTTCTTTATTTTTAAGAAAATAATTATAGTCGGTTATTACTGTTATAGAATCATAAATACCAAAAATCATTAACATCAGTATAATTCGGTGACGGCTAATGGCCTGTGAAAACCCAGGTTTTTGAGACCTCTAAGTTTACTACTAATCATCAGAATATTAAAATGCTAAGGCCATTTTAAAATGAATTTAAATTTCTCTGATCTCTTAATCTCGCAAGCACATCTCATGTGTAATGAGATGTAAGACCCACTATATAGCTTTAACCCAACATTCTTTTTCTCAACGCGCAATCCTTGTCACCCATTCTTTTTTTCATACTTAGTTTCCAATTATTTTAAAATATTCGTTAAGACTATATGGTAACACTTTACTCGGCAGATATGAAACTTGGATTAATTGGAAAAAGTTGTTTTTCTATTTTCTTCTGGTTTAAAAATGTGAATCCTAATAGAAAAAAATCCAGCCTCCTTAATTTTTATCTCCTTTTTTTTTTTGTTATTTCAGATTAGGATTAAATTACTTATTTTTTGTACTCTATATACACAATCATTTTAAATAAACGTGCGTGCATTAGGTGATGTTTGCGCCAGATACCATTTTGGCGGTAGACTCGATTATGCCAGCAAGCACTACGTCGATGACAACAAAACCAAAAGGCAAAGGCAGTCGGAAGAACTTCGAGAAACGATACTGCTGCACATTTTGTCCGTGGTCGGGTGTCGACAACTGGTGTCTGAAACGACACTTAAATACTCACATGAAGCCATATGAATGCGTGTTCTGTGAATACAAAGCGGCCAGAGCCGAACGGTTAGCCACTCACGTATTCAAAGTTCACAGCAAAAGGATGTGCTGCCGGTGCTCGTATATTGCTCAAGACCAGGAAGACTTATACGCTCATCAATCCGAAAACAATCAGTAAGTTACTTATCACAGTGTACATATTATAGTATGGCTAGGTTATGAATACTTTACATTTTCATAAATTATTTAAAACCATAGAAGGCAATAGGTTACTATTTTTCATCCCCCTTCCTACTTAAGATATATAAAAGTAATAAAAGCGCTAGGTGGAATTTAACCCCCTTAAAATATTAGCCTCAACCGTAAGTTGATAAGTGATTTTAAAATTTAAATATAACTTTTAGACTTTTATACGATACGTTTTATTTTTGCATTTTAAATGCATTACTCAAAGGTATTTTTACTATGTAATTGCGGTAGTTATTATTTATATACGAGTATATATATTATTATATTAATTGATTTAATAAATATATATATATATAATACACAAACATGAAAATACGTCAAAAATGACACGAAAATTATATTTATACTTATAATTTACCGATTATAAAATGAACATTTGATAAATAATGGACGAAAATAAATTTAAGACTATTTAATTTTTTTTATGTCAATTTTATCGTCATATTAGTAGTTACCTCGACCAATAAAATAATTTAAAAAGTTGTTTTTCTTTAATATTATATTTTATAAGATTAATTTATATATTCGATATATATATATATAAACTATCTGATTAACTCAATAAATGTATTTAAGTATGAAAGCTTAAAATATTGAAATACCAAAATATCACTTGTGAATATTTTGTAGTCCTTCAAATTATCTTCAAATTTTTAACCATGAGTATAATAACCCAAGTAGCTAAAACCCTATCTACCCTGCTAAAAATAACACTTAATGAATGCTTCAAATATTTTTATACTAGAAAAATATTTATGAGTCGTGATGTATTTCCCAATATTTAAACTTTTGAATACTGATTTATTTTCTAAAAATAAATGTAGCATACCTTTTTACATTTAAAACATTTATCCAAAATTAAAATTTTAAAAATGCAACTAAAATGAAATAAGTTAATATAAACTAATAATTATTTGCCATTATACTGACTAGATTTCATTGATTATGAAGATTACGTAAAATTAATTAAAACAATAATAAACAAATTTATTGGTTACGTGTTCAAATAGTAAAAAATTGTTTTTCTTAGTGCAATATATATTAATTATGCACTAGAACTTAATACTATGGATTCATATTTTGCAGGTAAACTGACTATATATACCTATTTATATTTGATACTTGATAAAAAATAAAATCAAAAACAGGAAAACGAAAAAATAATACAATAAACATTACTATTATTTTATTTTAAATTGCCAACAACCTTCAAAGCAAATGCCCAGTCTCCCGCCGGTATTATATTTACCCGTATCGATATGGAATAGAAATTGGTCATATAAGTATTTTATACAAGCAATTTTTTCAAAAATAGATTTCTGAGGTCGAAGTGTATTTTTTTATTTGAACTTCGCTTATCCAAATATAAACTATGATGTAAACCAATTTTAAACAAAATTGTTTTTTGTTATTTATTGTGATGAAACCTATTATAAAATTAGTAATATTAAAGACTAAAACATTTAATTGTCTTATCAAAGTGTGTAAATAATACAACTAATTACTTTTTCAATTTCTTCATATAAAATAACAACAATTATTTATTGAAAATACATGTTACATGATAATAAAAATTGAATTAATTTTTGTCGATTTATTTTTTATTTTTATTTGGTGTATTTTTCCATTGACAATGCGATACATTTACCCAATATATTTTATTATTTTAAAATAATTGCTCTCTGTCCTATAACAAAAACTGTAAAAAAACACTATCAAACTATAACATTTTTGTTAATAATTTAGTCAAAAACAGTTACTAAATTATCGTTATTTTGAATCAAGTTAAATTAATACATCAATTCAGTCAACTTTTGTTTTAATTTATTATAATAGTTTAAAAATGTTAATAGTTTTCCTGATTTTGAGTTGTAAATAGAACTTTTATATAAAAACTATATGTTAAAATATTTTATATTTAAGATATTTTAGTCTCCGAATTACATTATAAATTTTGAATGGATCATAACGAATTTATTTTCACGTAATATTTAATAACTTGTTAGTTTTTGAAGCATATTTTAATAAACTTCAGCAATCGTCGATGACTGACGGCTATATGTAGACTTTCAACTTAATATAATACAAAAACAATAATAGTAGGTGTAACAATTAACAATAGGTACATATAAATAATAGAAATCTTTAAATATTAAAAGTAAATTGAGATCATTATATAAGACAATATATATTGTATAATGTGTTGCATCGCATGTACCTGTGTTGATTGTTTTGTTTTTTCCAGTAAAAGCGTAAGGTCTCGTCGCACACAGACATCACCTACTCCATCGTCTCCCGACCAAGTTGAGGAGAACATAGAAAATAATGACGCAATTGTGGTTTGGCCGATGGCTGCAGTGGATACACAGAATTCTATTCATATTTAATTATAAATATTCTCAACGTGCCAAAATGCATATTACCTAATTGTAGTTACAGGGATGAAATAAAACATACCGTTACAGATCGTATCAATAAAAAAATAAGTATAGTAAATACTATGTATATTTATGTATCAATAACTTCAGTAAATGAAATTGACTCTTCTAATCTTTGAGTATAAAGACTTGCAAGTATTTAAATGGGGTACCTATGAGAGTGAGAGAGAAGAAGAGAGAAACAGTCATTAATGTCATAATGTCATATTAATTAAAATAAATATATATACGGCTCTAAAATTTTATTCAATTTTTAAGTTAGGTAAATTGTTTGTATAATACTCAAAAATACTTAATATAGGTTTATACAATTTACTATTTTAACTTAAATACTCATATTTTATGCTACTTATCCATATGCAAATATAGTAGTCCAAATGTAAACACATAACATGCCCAATACTAACCCTAATCGTATATGTAATATGTAATTATGTTATAATATATATATTACTATTATTATCGTTTTCGAAATAAACACTCCCATCAACTATAGAATTAAACAACCGAAAACAAGGTAGTCAATTTGAACCTGCATATGTACATAATTTGATATATTATAACAGTGGCGCAATCATGATTAATGGTGGGACAGGTGCTCTTTGGCTGATTATAGTGAGTAATCAAACACAGTAGCTCGGTTATCGAGTGGCTAATTTTTTTTTAATTCTTTCAATCACTCCCGTCGCCTCATCGTTAGCATTTCCAATATTTATTAATTTTACAACACCAATATCATCCAGAACACCGGAATATAAGTTTTTAGTTTTTAATTTAAAATCCAAACAAATATCTTTGGTCTACAGATAAAATTAAAGGAAATTAAATTTGCTAACTATAATTTTCCTAATTATTAATGATTTTTGGGCACCCTTACGAACATTTTAAATGGTGGAATGGAATCTTCGAAACAAGTATAGGAGCTAAATACTTAGGTATCTAATATACACGTTTTTATGATCAATTTTCTTTCATTTTTAAATTAAAAAAACAAATACAGATGATATCTTAAACTTAGCTTCAATGTAAAATATAGATATTTATAATTATTAGCTGAAAGTTGATAATAAAACATATTTTACAGGGTAATTTTATGGAATAATAATTTTACCAATTTCAATGTCCCATTTCAGATTTAAATAAGTAATTGCTGCCAATTTAATCCCCCCTTCCTCGGACTGTGCCACTGTCACCTGTATAATTGGTAGAAATACTCATGAGTCACGTTGTATATACGTTGTATAAATTGCTAAAACGAATTCCACCATATTTTTTTTTTTGGCAAAAGAAAATTTATTTAACGTTAACGTGAAACAAAAAAATTGATTTACCATAATTATTTCAAAATATATTTGTACCCGATATCTACAATAAACCAAGTGAAAAATTTCATATATTAGAATGAACCTATAGATAATAAAATATAATATTATTACTTAAACATTAAGATTGTTCCATTAATTTTTATATTTATATTTAATTGTTAAAGATCGTTGTAATGTAGATTGATAAACATACAACGAATCATTATTATAATAATTATAATAGTTACAATTTTACCTAGTATGTTTTAAATAAATTTTGAAAATTTTTCGCAGGGTCTTTTATGTTTACATTTTCAAACAAATATTTGTTCATTAAAATTATAGCATGTCGATTAAAAACGATGATGCAATATGATTCAGCAAACCAAATTTCTAAGAATTTTTGTATAAAGACATAGTGGACAACGTTCACTGTAATATATACAACTATTCCCCCCCCCCAACAATTAACTAGTAATATTCAACAATTTTAAAACTTTGGGTATAACAGAATACAATATATTTATGATTTTACAATAAGTTTTATTTAAAGTTACATAGATATAATGATAACTAATAAGAATTTAAAATCCTGTACAAAATTCATCGAACAAAGATATTTTAGAAAATAATGTTTTCCGTAACATTTAGCATAACTCGTTTTTTACCAATTTTGAATTTTTTAGGTAGAAAAATTATTCGATAATTTTATTATTTGTGACAAATTAGTTAAATAATGTTTTTAAATTAATTAAAATAAATCAATTTGCAAAATGCAGAATAAACGATCAAACTTATTTTTAATTATAAATTATTTGTTATATTTTCGATACTATATTATATAAACTAAAACTATGTTGTAATTAAAGTGATGTGAAGTATCAATAACAAATTCATATGTAACATTGAAATTTCACAATTTATAAGTAATTTACAGTTGATTTTTCAAAAAACTAAAATAATTTGGATCTGTATTGGTATTTAAATTGTAACTTATTCCTCAGATGATTTTAACCAAAAGCCAGCTCATGTATAAGTATGCCTGCTTTTTTATATATTCATAAATCATAATATAAGTAAGAAAGTTTTGAAAACTATACATGTATATTCAGTCTTTTGAACATGGTAAAAAGTAACATTTCTTTTCTCAAATTATTGATTTGTATTAAAAATTATCATAAAAACTAATGACTCAAATTGTTGTAAAATGACCAGTATTAATGTATTTACTTCTTATTCAATCTTGAACAAATACCTATAACATAATAATGTTGTTAATGATTAATGTAATTTTTTTTTCCATTGGAAAAAAAAATCACTTAAGTTCAAAAAACAGGCATTTGTATAATCAATCAACATGTAATTTTTATAAAGTAATGTAATACCAACTGATTATTTTTAAATTATATACAATACATAGAATAGTACTTTAAAACCATAAAATTATGTAATACTAAGGAAATGTTTGTTTTTTACAAGAGATACATTTATTATTGTTCAAAATACTAAATAAATCCATCCACTTAATTTAAACATTTGTTAACATCTCTTACTTGTTAATAATGTAATAATAAACCATTTCAATTTGAATTGCATTAATAATTATATTATGTATTAACTGTATTTATTAATTAAATATTAAATTAATTATATATTAATGTGTTGAAGAATTTAAATAAATCATCTTATAACCTAGTCAGATTATTATAATTATTTATGTAATATGGATAAAATTTAAATAATAACAATGATTAATAATTTTAACAGTTTTCAATATTATCTATATTGATGTTATTTTTACAAAAAAATACTTAAAACTTTTTTAATAATTTAACAACTTATTAATACTTATGATCGTCTTAGATCAATAATTAATAATATTAATAAAAAAAAATATATATCATTTGTTATGACAAAAATGAGAGTCTGCAAAATGTATTATAACATATACTTCGAAAATTACATATTTAAGTGGATAAAATAGTCACCAGAAATTTTGCATCAGACAAGGTCGTTAATATACAATTTAATATAAATCAATAAAAAGAAATTCATGCAAATCTAAACTGCTTTTACACCTACAGGCTTCAAATTTGCATTTGGAAGATTACTTTCTAGCAAACCATTGGTCATTTAAGTCAACATATTATAAATAAATGAGAAAATATAAGGTTTATTAATTGAATTAACTATCAATCACAAAAATAAAAAATAAATATTACATAAATAAATTATTTAAATGAAAGTTCAAAATTATATTTTTATATGTAATTAACATTAACAATTGTAATAATAACTTATTATTAATATTTATTGTTTTAACAACTCCAAAATCTTCATTATGTCATACAAAACAAAAACAAAAACATTTTATATACATTAAGTTGTATAAATTAAAACTATTTTTTTTCACTATTAGGTGATGAATTAGGAAAAATTGATTCAGAATCTAATAAAGAATCATTAACAGGAGTATTCAAAACGTCGTTTTCATTTATAGCATCAAAAGATATTGGCGTGTTTGGTATTGTCCAGTCAGCTGAAGCTGTCATCAAATCATTTAGATCATAACTATTTGGTGATAAACATGACACAATCTGATTATCTGGTGTAACATTTAGTCCATTTTTGGCTGAAATATGATTAAAACATAAAATATTATTAATAAATGCGTAATAAATTAGAACCAATTAGGTAGTATCAGCATTGATCATAAATTTAATATTGTATATTTAATCAATGGTATCAGTTATATGAAATTTATATAATACCATCAATATAAGACATATTTTATTTTTAATAACTAGTTAACTATTCAAACCATCTATCAATAAACCAACTGAAATAAAAAATTTATCATAATTCTAAAAAATAATCAATAATATGGTATGCATAGATGTATGCAAATATAAATAAATCTAAAAAAAAAAAACTATAATAATAAACAGAACAGTGATAATATCTGGAGGTGTACTTTAAAATAATGGAATATTTTAGAGCAGTGCTTCTTAAACTTTGGGCAACTTCCAAGACTTGTTATTTTTGAGGGGGGAGGGGGTAAAGAGTTGTGGGAGGAGGAAAAAACATATTTTTGTATAAAAATTTAACTTTAGAAAATAATTAAAAAAATAAATATGCTGTTATTTTAATAATTAAATTGATTTTAACAGTTTTTAAGGTAAAAAATTTCTAAATATTAAACTCTTAGAAGCTACAATAATTTTACATAAAATTAAGAAAAAAAAAAGTTGAGTCAATATTTTTCAAAAATATTTACAATAGTAACATTTATGTATACCAATAGCTAATTTAATAATACAGAGGGTTTCATAATAAACGGACAATTTCAAAAAATTATAACTCGAATTAGAAATGAGCTAGAGAGACGATCTATATGCCCTATATAAATGCAGGGAAGTATCTATTTTAATGTCCAACAGTCGGCAGTCATCATGACGTACTGGACTAAGCAACAACGCGCGTTTTCTGTCGAGCGCTATTTTCGCGTCGGCGAATCTGTAATTCAAGTGCAACGTGATTTTCGTGAACATTTCAACATTCAACCGTGATATCTCATTCCTTCTCATTCATCAATCTTGAGATGGGTAAAAAACTTTCGAGAGACAGCCACAGCGTCGAATAAAAAGCGTCCTGGCCGTAAGAAATCGTCACGAACTCCTGAGAACATCGAACGGGTGCGTAAAAGTTTACAGATTAGTCCTCGTCGTTCATTGAGAAAACGCGCTCAAGCTGTAAAACTTTCATTGTCGACTACTCGACGCATTATTCGATATGATCTCAATTATCATCCCTATAAATTGGCTGTAACACAACAGTTAAATCCAGACAATTATCCAAAGAGAAAATGATTTGCTGAAAAAATGCTCGATAAACTTGAAAACAACGAGATTGATGCTGATAAAATTTTATTCACCGATGAAGCCCACTTTCATTTAACTGGTGCCGTGAATAAACAAAATTATAGTTACTGGGCTCCAACGGGCTATAATCCACAGGAGATCGAAGAGAAGCCGTTACACGACCGAGTTACCGTCTGGGTAGGTGTTGCATCTTGGGGTGTTGTCGGTCCGTTTTTTTTCGATGGAAATGTCAACACTGTGCGGTATGCTGAAATGTTTAACACGTTTCTGATTCCCACTCTTTGACGTAGATGGCGTCACAACTCGACTTGGTTTCAACAAGACGGTGCGACGTGCCATACATCAAATGAAACGATGACAATTCTCCGAAAAGCAATTGGCAACCGCATAATCTCCAAACGCGCAGATTTCGAATGGCCGCCTCGTTCACCGGATTTAACGGCTCCTGACTTTTTTTTATGGGGATATTTGAAAGCGAGAGTGTATACGGATCGTCCGAGTGATTTGGAACAATTAAAACTCGAATTCGTGATGAAATGTCCTGAATTACCGCGGCAACCACGAAGAAAGTAGTGAAAAATTGGGTTAAACGTCTCGAGTGCTGCGTCGCCTCTAACAGCAAACATTTAAACGATGTTGTATTTCATAAAAAAAATTGAATAAATGTTGTACTTTGGGTTAAAATTTGGACATTTTTTAGTGATATTTTTATGAGTTATTAATTTTTTAAATCGTCCGTTTACTATGAAACACCCGTTACTATGAAATAATATGTTTAACTATTTTCTCCAAAAATAACTTGTGGAGATCAAAATATCTTACCATCATTTAGAACCTGTTCTTCTGATGTCATTGGAAGATTTAAATTTGTTGGATCGTCATTTATGAACTATAAAATAATGAGAAAAAAATTATAATTTAAAATCCTTCACTCATAAAATAAAATGTAGTAAAAATTTTACTAGCCATTTTTCACATTATCAACTTACATTAAGAAACATGTTAGCATCAAATGTGTATTTATCATTCAATCCTTTCAACAAATTGTCCAAATCTCCTTGAATTGTATCAATTTGCTTAACTACAGAATCTCTAAAAAATATAAAAAAAAAAAAAAAATAATAAATTTAAATAATTTTTATTAATAACTTAAATTCTTATGGCTTTTCAAACTTTCAAACTTTAACTACCATACATTTTTTCTAATTTGAAAAAATCTCAATGGATATTAAATTATTATTTATAAGATTATAACTTGTGATTCAAACGTTATAAAAGTATCATCATTGATACAATTTCAAAATAAACTATATTGAAAAAATGAAAAAAAAAATTAATCATAACAGACTTTTAATTTGATTTTAAAAATATTTTGATTTAATATAGTACATTTTTAAGAAAATAATTACATATTTCATAAATCATGAAATGTATCTGTTTCAGAGGATCAAAAATTATTAAGTGGTTATTTTAATAAGTTTTGTATTTAAACATAAAAAGTATGAAAAATGGGATATTAAAAAACAGTTCATAGAGGATTCAAAAATTACTGTCAAATATGGCATTTTAATTTTAATTGAACATTTAAAATAAATGTATTAAAAATTGAAAATAAATAAAGATATAAAAGTAAGAAGTAAACTATTGCTATATATATGCTTATTTTCATTTTCAAGAAAAGAAAATAATAAGACAATAGCATACTTTTCTAAATCTTTATTATATTCGATTCCACTTAATAAGCTGGGTGGTGGTGATAAATTAGGTTGCATGAAACTGCTTTCAGCACATTTAAGAACTTGCCTGGGTTCTGGATTAGCAAGCTGCATATTATCGGAACTTGAAGTTGTTTCATTATTCAATAAACTATCATTGTTTAAAATACAGCTGAAACAAAAAAAGTTTCTATTAATTCCAACATGTATAATTTGAATATTTAAATATTTTAGGCAACCATTAATTTTTCTAATTAATTGAAAATTAATTTGCTTTAACTAATAATGATTATATTGAAAATCTTGTGATAAAATAATTAAATTTATAATTTAATTGAAAAATAAAAAAATGAAGTTACAATACACTAAATAATCATACATTAGATCATATTACAAAATTGTTTATATTAAATGTATTAAAAATTATATACTAACACTTCAGGCTCAATTATATCCATGTCTGGAATAGAAATAACAGGCAGATCTTTTTCTTGTGGCTCAATTTTAATATATGAAAGAGGAGAATTAATAGGTTTTAAATTATCACCATTATCAACCAGTGTAAACTTTTGTTTTTTCTTTGGATAATTATCTTTCCTTGTTCTCTTTTTAGGTGCATAATTAGTCTGTTTAGTTATTTTCAATTTTTGATCTTTTGAAGAATCAGTTGTTAAATTAGGTTTTAATAATTCTTCAGTTGGAGATATTGAAACTTCTCTTATCAATTCTTCAAATGGTGAATTCATTATGATTTCATTTGGTGCAAAAACCTCTTCAACTGTTGAATCATCTGGACTTTTTAACATTTGAGAAACACTGCTAGGACTAAGAACAACACCTTCTGATTCAATATCCTCTCTAAAAGAAATAAAATAATAATTAATCTGATATTCCATTATAATGTTTATGTTAATTATTAATTAACAGACAGACTATAAAAAACTATACTTTAAAATTGATCCATGATTTTGATCAATATCATTTGAATCCAGAATATCAGCAGCATCTAGTTCATGAATCACAGGTCCAAATGAAGTAGATGGTTTATATTTTGGATTCTAATTTAAAATATAACATTATATAAATAGTGAATTGAATATAATTTATAAAATTAAAATTTGAATAGCAAAATATCACACTGGCTTACAGTAAATGATTCACTTGAATTTGTTTTTTCTGATGGCTTATGATGCATAATAGGAAGAACATATCTGACATTATTTTTTACTTCCCTGCACAGAGTATTATTGGAACCAGGTTGTCTTAAAGTAACTAGAAATTGGATTAACTGCAATTAAAAAAAAAATATTAGTTATTAAACAAGAAAAAATTGTAGAAATAAAATATAGAAACTAAAGCATTTGTATGTCATTACATTTTATTCATTTTAATGAACATTTGATAATATGTATTAACATAGTTACAATAAAATTATCTTTATAATAAAATTTTGTAAATTTCTACAGCAAATTAAAATCAAAATTTAAATTTAAGTGAAACACTCAAGAAAATCAATGTGTACAATATACTTCATTTTAAAAGTTTATATGTACACAATAACCTTATATTAACTAAAAAAAAACTTTAAATGTTAAAAATATGTACTTTATAGTGTCATACTACCGAGGCTAAGAACTCAGTGTTTAAGTTTAACTGAAAATTTAAATATAAATAAATAAACAAATAATTTATTACATAGAAATAAATAAATAAAAGCTTAGACTGGAGTATTATATTTATAAATTATGACTAGATTCAAATTTAAAATTCATTGAAATTTTATTGATTTTGTATATACCTAATGCTACATTTTTAATTTGAAATTGGTCGTACTTTACAAATATAATAATTTATATTTACTTATTTTTATACAATAACTTTTTGTTTATTTATTCATATATTAGTTTATGAGTTATAACCATTTAGTCATTTTTAATTTTAATTTAATTTTTATTATTTTATTGTTGAAAATTAAAGTTTCATATGCAATTAATAATAATTATAAGACTTATTCATACCTGGTTCAGTATTCTCTGTTGTTTCATATGCTTCTGTCGAATAACTGCCAATTCACGCCATAAACACTCATTTTCATGTTTCATAGCCACAAATTTAGAATCAAGCATTTTATTTTTATCTTTCACCGAATTTACTTCTTGTAACAGTTTACTTATTGTTTCAATAGAATCAATATCAGTTTTTATGTGTTGTTGCTGTTAAAAAAAATATAAATAATAAATAAATAAATATAATAAAAGTTCTGTGATTTTTTTAAGAATGGTTAAATTTAATTAAGAAAATATATTTATTTTATTAAATTAGCCTTTAGTATAAAAATATATTATATTTTTCAATGACATGTATAACTTTAAATATGTAACTTCTTTTTTTTTTTTTTAATTGAATAATTAAAGTCAATTTTTCAAGAAAAATTTTTCTTTTAAAATTATTCTTGAGAACTCTAAAATTAACTCTCATTAACCACTTTTAATTTTAATTTTACTGTATTTTTCATTTGTTTTGTTTTGACATTTACACATTATCAGGGTTAAAAAATAGTATGATGATTTTTAAACCAAATACAGAATCATGGATACTAGCAGAAATCTATGACAGATGGAAGCAGATTTAAATGATGTATGTTAAAAAAAATGTGTTAAACAAAATAAAGAAATTTCAATAACAATATAGAACAAATGAAAATTAATTAAACAAAATAGTTAACAAAATTTCTAATTTTTACCAAATAAACATACCACTTTTTCTCCTCTCTTTTGTTTGATCGATAATAATAAATATGGGTGTTCCTTCATGAAATATGGATGGGCATATTCACAAGATGTTCCGTGATTAGATGTATGATCAGCATCAGATATTCTTTTACTAAAACCATCTAAAATAAAAAATAAAAATTAGGTACATAACCACAAGCTTTGAATTATATTTAAAACATAACAAGGATTAAATTTTTTTTATTATAAATAAGTCATTGCGTTATAAAATAGAAATATTGCTTTGAAATCTTTGTTTAATTACCATTTTGATTGCAAATTTATATTATTTTAAAAAGGAAATTTTGAAATTTACCAAAAACAAATATTTCTAAGACAGAAAATGTTAAAATACTACATAAAAATTATAAAATAAAATTAATCTCATTTGTCTTATATTTATTATGGCTCAAAAGTTATTGCACTAAAAAACATTAAAATTGATTGTAATATAGCAGAAAAAATACCAAAATAATTAAAAAAAAAAAAAATGCATTAGTATTTTATATTTAGACTATCATATTACACATTTGAGTTATTTTACAAAGTATTCAAAAATTTTATTAATATTATTATATTAATTATTATTAATTATATTAATACTGGAATAGTGATTTTAGTTCAGTTTTCTACAAGTCATTGTATTGCACGATAATTGATTTCTTAAATTTCTCAAATTCAAAAGACTTCCGATTTGAGACAGCAAATTTCACAATTCAAGCATTATATAATCAAATAATATTTCCATCACAATCGACAAAGCCCAAAATAACCAACAATTATTATTTAATGTTATTATATTATTTCAATATCTATCAATATCTAAAATGGCCTGTTATTATCGTTATTAATATTTTATTTCTTACGTAAAAAAAAAATTAAATCATGTGAATATTTAAAAGTATCTAATAATGTATTATAAATGAGGAGATATAACAAATTTACTGTCAAATTGAAATAATGCCAAAAACTGCAATTTGTTAGACTAAATTTTTTTAGATTTTAATTCGTACTTGTATGGAAGAAGTGTATAACCTACTTAGCAATAAATCCGAACAATAAAAAAAAAAGTTTCAAATGTAACAACTTCTGTGGCCTTATAATCATGAAATAATCAACTAAAAAATATAGACTACATTAAATTTATTACAATATTTTATATAATAAATTATAAACCACACATTTCACTATTTATAAAATCCTATATTGGTTTGATAGGTAAGTGTTTATTATCAAGGGTGAAAGGTAAAGATTATTTATGGAAGGAGGAGGTTGATAAGTTTAGGTAATGATTATTTTTATAACTACCTATTTATTTACTAACTATGGTTTTGGCAATGGGGGATGATGGTTTGAAGCCCCAAGACCCCTAACCCCAATACCATTGTTTATTATACACATAAAATTTAATTATATGAATTAAAACATTGCTGTATAGAGCAATATATAATAAAAGTAAAATAAATAATTTCTGAAAACTTAATAACTTGAAAGTTTGATGTAGATTAAAACATTTTATTACATTAAAACTGAATGATTTTGTTTTGAATTTATTCAGCCCAAATATATATGTATATATATATAAATAATTGAACCAATGATATTAGCAGAATAATTGCATAACAGGTTAATTTAATTAAAAAGCATTGGTAACGACTAATGATAATAATTTATTAAAATTATAGTGCTCTCACATAAGTGTAACTGCCGCACAAAGCTCATGAAGTTTTTGTGCTTAAAATACATTGGCAGAACATCACAGAATTCTACTGGATCATTAATGATGAAACTGTCACCATCCTGTGAAACGAAAAAAAAAGTGTTAAATAATACAACAAAAGTTGTATAGACCACAGTAGTATCGGCAATAGTCGGTTGATCGGATAGTCTACCACGAGTTATGCGTTCCGTTTGAGTACAAGCGGACAACACTCACCTCTCCCCATGCGATTACGTTGTCAGTCTCGGGGCTGTTGACCATCGCCCAGAGTTTTCTCAAGAACAAGGAGATCCGTTGATCGTTCACAGGGTTGCTGTCCGGCATTGTGGCGCGAATAGTCGCGATAGGGACGTGTGCCGAACAGACGTGACCTAGAGCACAAGACCCGAAGGGTCAGCGGTCGAAAAGCCCGGTACACTTGGAAGATTTCGAGAAAATAATTAACGCGTGCAACGTTATTAGTTATTATCGACGATCCGCGAACATCAATTATCACTAGCACTGCACAGGCACTAGCGGTCGTCCGCCTCAACGACCGCAACACGGGGATCGGGATTGTTGTGAATGTGATACCAATTCAGAACTATCATGTATTTTCTTTCTGCCCCGCCTCCTTCGGCCGTTACACAATGTGATAACGAATACGGTTCAGCACGGTGGTGAACGTCGAATGCGTCGTACTGTACTGCCGTGTAAGCCCTGAATAACATGTAATTATGTTCAATAACACTGTATTCAGGAGGTGCAGTACAGTTGCAAACAACACTATGTCTATAGTAGAGACAGCTGTCCTCATACATCCTCCCCCCCCCCAAAAAGTCATTATTATTTTTGTTATTATTATCATTATTATTATTATCATCATCGTTTTAATTATTAACGTTACTTTTCAATGTAAGTTATGCTCGTGAACGCTCTGAATGGACACGACGAAAATAACAACAATAACAATCGATATCGGTTAAAATAAATAATGCGATCCATCGTGGCTTGCAACTTGATAGGCCGAGTATAGCCATATGCGTATTTACTAGGGGTCGTAATCATACACGAGTATACGTATACCCTATACAAGGTTGTATTTAATTATCCGATAAGTAAATATCAGACACCCGTTTAGTTATTAATTCAGGGTAATTAAAGGTATATTATATAATTATTCAAATATTGGTATGAATCTTGTTTGATTTTCACAGAAATTGGCAATTTTTTTTAAACCTAAGTAGCTATTTCACTCTTACAAAAATAATTTTAACTTTAATACTTATACCTACTTATAATTAATTAATATTTTGACTTATTCTATCATAATTTATAAAAAATGTTTTCTATATATGCCATCGCTCCACCGCATACGAAATGTGTCCCTAAATGATATTTTGTCCGAGTTGCGTCCGTGGTTTTATAAACGACACATCCGAGTTGCATCCGCGGTTTCTGGCGCCATGGGTTTTTCAGCAACTGTGAATATTGTTTAGTGATAAACTCGTAAATAATCTCGATTATCATCGATATCTTATCTGTAAATACCGGCAAAAGCTGCTCCGTCTGAACGCGCCTTTATAATTTATTGTTGGAAATTAATTTTGTTCATATTATTCATGTTATCCAGAAATTTAATATTTAATAAAAGAGAAATCTCAATTATTACAATACATAAACATGGAGAATAAAATACACGGGTAATGTCGGGTATTTAGATACACGGATAATGACGGGTATTTAACTACACGGATAATGCGGGTGAACGGGTATTTACAAATACACGTGTATTTTATTTACACGTGTAATGGCGAGCACTAGTATTTCCGCGTTAACACCTTACTAAACTAATTATACACAACTTGATTAGTTTTCATATAATTTATGCGCTGGTACAACGATCGACACAATGTGTGTAAAGCCAATCGATCTGACTGCCAAGGGAGAGGGGGTTACGGGTCCGAACCTCCCCCATTGAAATTTTTACATACTCAACGCTTTAATAGTAAATAGTATAATAATAGTATTTAGTGTATTTTAATTTCCCACTATCTTCAATAAACTAAGCTTATAGATTATATAATATATCTATAATGTATAAACCATACTATAGTATATTAACAGTAATTTATTGGTATTGAGTTAAACTATAATTATAATAAGAGAGCATAAAATAAAAATTTTGGACCCCCCCCCCCCCATAAAAAATTCCTGGGTAGGCTCCTGCTGATAATTTTTATTTCTCGATAGCGATAACGTCCCAATTGGACTACCTGATTTTACAAATATTAGTATTTATAACCAATACTTATACCCACCTTCATACATAAATTTGATACACATTAAAAAAATAAATAATTGTATTCAGTGCCCGATTACCCATTAGGTGGAGTAGGCGCCTGCCTTAGGGCTTCACTCATTTAAGGGGCCCTGTAAAAACGGAAAACTATATTTTTTTATTTAATAATACATGTATTTTATTTACGAATTTACGGGCCAGTCATTATGAAATATAATATATATATTAAGTTGTGGGTGTTATAGCCAGTAATAATAATACAATTATTTATTGATTTTTCTTGCAAATAAAAAAATTCAATAAACACGATTTTGTTTTTAAATAATAGTTCGTTATTATTAAAGTTATTTGTTTTAATTATTGGATATTAATGTTAAAAATGAATGTAAAAAATTATTTTGTAGGGCCCAACATTTTAATTGCCAAGGAGCCCACAAATGTTTAATCCGGCAATGAATGTATTTATATTTCAAAACGATACAAACTTTCTTATTGTACTGAAATTAAATTTGAACTCAAATCTCATAATTATCACTATTTATCTACCTACAATTAAATGCTTTCTGTGCTAATATAATATTACCACAGAATAATTCTTTCCCACACATGGCATTAAGATTACTTAATAATACCTTTATCATATTACCTGGTGTTTGGTCGTTTATTCCGTCAAGGTGTTTAGTGGGTTGTGTTGATTCTCAGAACTGCTATCCTTTCCGAACAGGACTGAATTCTTTTTTGACATTATTCGAGCACTATATGTTTTTGTAATTTATATATGTATATATATGCATGGGCGTAGCTAAAATTTGAATCAGGGAGGGGCAAAACATAAAATGATTAACATTAAACTCGTAATTCAAAGAATCTACAGATAGACCATTGGATAAAACGACAAAACGATTACACGTGTAGATATCACTCGGTCCCACTAAACTATTTTTAGAATTATATCTTATTTAATTTTTGATTTTAATGTAAAACTTACTCGTTTGGTATAAACAAATATAATTCATTTTGAGGCGCAGGGGTGGGCAAAAGCCCCCCTCTGCCCCACCCTCGCTACACCCATGTATATATGACATACCTATACAGTAATCCCTCGTTATCCGCGGAGGTTAGGTTCCAGGAAAGTTGCGCGGATATCGAAACCGCGGATAACGAGACCATAAAGCAATGTAAAACGGGAAGTTAGGTTTTATTTACATACAATTTTTAATTTTTATTAGACATTTTTATTTATTTTTATTTTTATTACACAAAAAGGTTAATATGTTTTACAATTACATATTATGTATTTATTTTTTTAATATAATTTATTAATTATTTATACATACATACATAATATATTAGGAAGGATGAAAAAAATTTGTAATTGATGTTTGTTTCCTTTTGTTTTCTATGTCTTTGCGAACTTCTTCGTAAGGCACCAGCAATTCTTGGATTCCTCTTTTGAACTTTAATGCTCTTTCAGTGAGTGGATCCGTCATAAGAACTTGTTCAGTTAGTTGGTTTGCTAATGAAAAAATCTCTTTGATTGATTTAGAGGAGAAATCCGGCTTCACAGGTTCTTCTTCCTCTTCATCATCCTCCGATTGTTTTGGTTCGTTCGGGGTTTCGGTAATTTCTTCTAGATCCTCCAATGTAAGTTCCTGATCATAGTTAAACATCATTTCTTCTATGTCGTCTCTATTTACCTCATCAAAACCTTTTACGTTCCGAGCAATTTCTACGATTTGATTCACCGTGGTGTTCAGATTGTCAATTTTATCGCTTTTCAACACAACTTCTGGCCATAATTTTCGCCAACAAGCATTTATAGTCGAGGGCTGAACTTCATCCAGTGATTCTTTGATATTGACGAGACATTTAGCGATGTCATAATTTTTCCATCCTTGTGTAACTGTAAGTTCTGGATCTTCTTCTAAGTTTTTTTAATAGACGTTGAAAAGTTCTTCGTACGTAATAGGCCTTAAACGCTGCAATCACCCCTTGGTCTAATGGTTGAAAAAGTGAGGTAGTGTTTGGAGGCATAAACATGACTTCAATGTCAGAATGTTGAAATTTTAATGAGGGGGGATGGCCAGGGGCATTGTCAATTAGCAATAAAGCTTTAAAAGGGAGATTTTTTAATTTTAGGTACATCTCCACTTGAGGAATAAAACAGTTTGTAAACCAATCACTAAAAATTTGTGCAGTGACCCAAGCTTTATTATTTGCTCTCCAAAACACTGGCAAGTGATTCATGTCTTTAGATTTGAAGGCTCGTGGTTTAAGTGATTTATAAACGACCATTGACTTTATCATGAAACCACAAGCATTAGCACAAAGCAATAAGGTGAGTCTGTCTTTAGCTGCCTTGAATCCCGGTGCTGTTTTTTCATTTTTTGATAAAAAAGTTCTTGATGGCATTCTTTTCCAAAAAAGACCTGTTTCGTCTGCATTGAATACCTGTTCGGGGGTGTAACCACCCTGTTCAATGACATTTTTTAACTCTATAGGAAAATTTTTAGCTGCTAAATGGTCTGCCGAGGCAGACTCGCCAACTAGTTTGACGTTGTGAAGGTTACACCGATTTTTGAATTTTTCAAACCAGCCTTTGCTTGCGAGGAACGACGAATTTTCGCTATCCCCCTTTGATGAACTTGTAAAATGTTGATGAAGTTGTTTAGCCTTTTCTCGTATAATTATAGAACTGAGAGGAACTTTTTTTTGGGTCTGGTCTTCAATCCAAATATTTAAGGCTTTTTCGGTCTTCTCTACCATAACATCACGCGTGATAAAACACGTTTTACTGGAAATAGGGGCACTTTCCATAACACTGCGTCGTATTGCCACTTCATTTTTTCTTATTTCTCGAACACTAGACTCGTTCATTTCGTACTTCCTAGCAAGTGACGCTACGGTATCACCACTTTTTATTTTATCCAAAATTTCAGTTTTTTGCACAAGTGTCAAAACTTTTCTTCTCCTTTTCATTGAAATTTTAGGTTGAGAAGCCATTTAAAATGAAGTATGTATGGTACTGAATTAATTACAAATATAAATTAAATTAAATGTAGTAATATTTACATACAACCGTACACGTGTCACGCACTAATATCAACCAACAACTGAACAATTTTAAGATATAACAAATTAACCGTACATATTAAGGTATGTACATTATGTAGCTTATCTGTTATAATAGTATGGGTATAATAAAGATAAAATTTCATCGTATGTATAAATAAAATGTTATCGCCGACCCAACCGTGGATAATCGAAACCGCGGATTAAAAATCCGCGGATAA